CATCTGTATTCCTCTCTATGGCGGGACACTGTTCCTCTGTACATCTGTATTCCTCTCTATGGCGGGACACTGCTCCGCTGTACATCTGTATTCCTCTCTATGGCGGGACACTGTTCCTCTGTACATCTGTATTCCTCTCTATGGCGGGACACTGTTCCTCTGTACATCTGTATTCCTCTCTATGGCGGGACACTGTTCCTCTATACATCTGTATTCCTCTCTATGGCGGGACACTGTTCCTCTGTACATCTGTATTCCTCTCTATGGCGGGACACTGTTCTGCTGTACATCTGTATTCCTCTCTATGGCGGGACACTGCTCCGCTGTACATCTGTATTCCTCTCTATGGCGGGACACTGCTCCGCCGTACATCTGTATTCCTCTCTATGGCAGGACACTGTTCCTCTGTACATCTGTATTCCTCTCTATGGCGGGACGCTGCTCCGCTGTACATGTGTATTCCTCTCTATGGCGGGACACTGTTCTGCTGTACATGTGTATTCCTCTCTATGGCGGGACACTGCTCCGCTGTACATCTGTATTCCTCTCTATGGCGGGACACTGTTCTGCTGTACATGTGTATTCCTCTCTATGGCGGGACACTGCTCCGCTGTACATCTGTATTCCTCTCTATGGCGGGACACTGTTCTGCTGTACATGTGTATTCCTCTCTATGGCGGGACACTGCTCTGCTGTACATCTGTATTCCTCTCTATGGCGGGACACTGTTCCTCTGTACATGTGTATTCCTCTCTATGGCGGGACACTGTTCCTCTGTACATGTGTATTCCTCTCTATGGCGGGACACTGTTCCTCTGTACATCTGTATTCCTCTCTATGGCGGGACACTGTTCCTCTGTACATCTGTATTCCTCTCTATGGCGGGACACTGTTCCTCTGTACATCTGTATTCCTCTCTATGGCGGGACACTGTTCCTCTGTACATCTGTATTCCTCTCTAGGGCGGGACACTGCTCCGCTGTACATCTGTATTCCTCTCTATGGCGGGACACTGCTCCGCTGTACATCTGTATTCCTCTCTATGGCGGGACACTGTTCCTCTGTACATCTGTATTCCTCTCTATGGCGGGACACTGTTCTGCTGTACATCTGTATTCCTCTCTATGGCGGGACACTGTTCCTCTGTACATCTGTATTCCTCTCTATGGCGGGACGCTGCTCCGCTGTACATCTGTATTCCTCTCTATGGCGGGACACTGTTCCTCTGTACATCTGTATTCCTCTCTATGGCGGGACGCTGCTCCGCTGTACATCTGTATTCCTCTCTATGGCGGGACACTGTTCTGCTGTACATGTGTATTCCTCTCTTTGGCGGGACACTGCTCCGCTGTACATCTGTATTCCTCTCTATGGCGGGACACTGCTCTGCTATACATGTGTATTCCTCTCTATGGCGGGACACTGTTCCTCTGTACATCTGTATTCCTCTCTATGGCGGGACACTGTTCTGCTGTACATCTGTATTCCTCTCTATGGCGGGACACTGCTCCGCTGTACATCTGTATTCCTCTCTATGGCGGGACACTGTTCTGCTGTACATCTGTATTCCTCTCTATGGCGGGACACTGTTCCTCTGTACATCTGTATTCCTCTCTATGGCGGGACACTGTTCCTCTGTACATCTGTATTCCTCTCTATGGCGGGACACTGCTCCGCCGTACATCTGTATTCCTCTCTATGGCGGGACACTGTTCCTCTGTACATCTGTATTCCTCTCTAGGGCGGGACACTGTTCTGCTGTACATCTGTATTCCTCTCTATGGCGGGACACTGTTCCTCTGTACATCTGTATTCCTCTCTAGGGCGGGACACTGCTCTGCTGTACATCTGTATTCCTCTCTATGGCGGGACACTGTTCCTCTGTACATCTGTATTCCTCTCTATGGCAGGACGCTGTTCCTCTGTACATCTGTATTCCTCTCTATGGCAGGACACTGTTCCTCTGTACATCTGTATTCCTCTCTATGGCGGGACACTGTTCCGCCGTACATCTGTATTCCTCTCTATGGCGGGACGCTGCTCCGCTGTACATCTGTATTCCTCTCTATGGCGGGACACTGTTCCTCTGTACATCTGTATTCCTCTCTAGGGCGGGACACTGTTCCTCTGTACATCTGTATTCCTCTCTATGGCGGGACACTGTTCCTCTGTACATCTGTATTCCTCTCTATGGCGGGACACTGTTCTGCTGTACATCTGTATTCCTCTCTATGGCGGGACACTGTTCCTCTGTACATCTGTATTCCTCTCTATGGCGGGACACTGTTCCTCTGTACATCTGTATTCCTCTCTATGGCGGGACGCTGCTCCGCCGTACATCTGTATTCCTCTCTATGGCGGGACACTGCTCTGCTGTACATCTGTATTCCTCTCTATGGCAGGATGCTGTTCCTCTGTACATCTGCACTGCATTTGGTTGTCTGTCCGTCAGTTGATGGACGTCCGGGTGATTTCCACTTTCTGGCTCTAATGAGGGACGCTCTTATGAGTGAGCGTTTGCCTGCAAGTCCGTGTATGCGCACGGGTTCGGTGCTCTTTGGTTTGCTCCTGGGAGTGGACTTGCCGGGGCGGACGGCAGACAGTTGTTGAAAACACTGAAAGCCTGGAAGGAAGGTGGACGTGAAATTCAAATTTGTAATGAAACCTCTTGTCTGTTCACCTTTATGTATGGATTTTGATGGGGATTTGGACTGGATGTATATTGCTTAAATATAAGAACAACTGAAAATAATCAGGAGCTTTTAACTGCGTTTCGTGATATATGTTCTAATAGAAGAACAAGGAGAAAAACAACAAATGACATAAAAGCAACCTGCAAACTTGTGTCTTACTGGCAGCTGTTTCTGTAAATAATTCTGATTGGATTTACTCCAAGGCAGGAACAGAAGGGGAAGGCATTGTTTGCTGGGATATGGCAGTAGGCTGACATTTTTCACCTTGGGGATTATTCACTGAAAATTGCGGATGTCCTTTTCATCAAGTTGAAACATAACTTGTTTAAACATCCTTTTACCTAGATGTGACCAGCAGTGCTTTTCAGTGTTCGGGGCCAGACGGCCTTGAACTGTCTCTGTGGCTTGTTGTGAAACCAGTTTCTATGGACTAGAAATGGCCGCCTCTTCTCCGAAGTAACTGTGATGGAGCACGTCCCACCGACAACCTAAAAAATGACTTAGATGTATTGAAAGTGTGATATTTGGTGGCCACCCACATTAACAGAGACTGACAGCACCGATGAAATTTGAGGCCTCTGGTTCCATACCCCCTTTCGTCCCTGCTATGAAACAAATCAGCTGACTTGCTAATTCTGAATGTCACCAGTTTGAACTTGAATCTTGTAAGAGTATTCCTGTTGTAGTGGATTACAGTGGGTTACAGTTCTGAACGTTTGAATACCACATTTTAAAGTGTTTTTGTCAAAACACTTTGAGTTTGATAAAATTAGGAGAAACAGGGAAAGCGGATTATAAGCAGTTTACCAGACACTTGAGTCTTTTCTGTGTATGAGGTGCTGTCTTCGGGGATGGGAAAGGTGCACAGGAGTAAAGGCGTGACCCGTGCCCTCCAAAGTTGTGGGGTGCAGAATGGGTGATCACACAAAGCCAACCGGAACAGAGTTGAAGTGTAAGTTTTACACGGTGTGAAGAAATGCGTGCTGTCCTCATTGGGGTTTATCGAAACATTTCACCTCTTTTTACTGGTAGAAAAAGATTTGCGGGGGGGGTCCCCACAGGCACAGAATAGCATGGAATCATGGAAGTATATAGCATGAGAAACTATGGAACAGAGTTACAGAAAGCAGGGAGCAAACTGGGAAGCCGCCCCCAAGGAAGTACCCAGTGCCGCTCACCACCTTGAGCGGCCGGCCACCCCCCACTGAGAGGGCTGCTGGGGTGGGGGCGGCGCGCGCAGCAGAGCCTGGACCGAGCCTGCTTCTCCTCTGGCGGCCCGCCTGTGCCCTCCCAGTGCCAGGACACAGTGTGAAGTCGTGCCAGCCGACGAAAGAAGGATGTGGTAGTTTCCACCTCCGCTTTCGAAATAATGGAGCGGAGAGACGATAAGTTGACAAGAGGCACATCTATGACTGGTTTTTCTTGTTATTGTCATCAGTTTTTTCCAGTTGATGGTTTAACGAGTGTAATGATGAACACCCTTGTCCTTACCAGCACGCGTGTCTTCTTGCTTAGCTCATTCGTGAGAGCTAAGCATCGTAGATCGTGTTTAGAGATACAGCGAGTGGCCCCCGAATCTTGCTGTTTGCTTTTGTGTGCATGAGGTATTTCCGGAAGGAAGTGAGAAATGCAGGTTGTCTTTAGGGAAGGGAACTGGGCAGTCATCTATTCATAATAAAACTAAATTTTCAGATGTTTCTATTGTAAATACGAAAGATATTATCCATCTTGTTAAACTCAACTTTATTGTTTCTCAGCATGTCGAGGTTTGTGAAACACGCCCTTTTCCGTCAAACCTTGTTCTGTCAGCCAAGGCATCTATTTGCTGACGCATAACATCATTTGCCACTCAAAATGAGTGAGGATATTTTCATTTTATTGTTTCCTCTTATTGCTGTATAATCTATAAAAATCTGTATAGTTCCTATTAAAGCCTATCAAAAGTTTTATAAAGCCCTTTTTAAAATTCTTAATTTTTTTTCTTAAGAATCTTTGACATTTCCCTGTAGGAGAGTGGATTTTTAAAACTAATGTCATGGAAGAAGAAATCGAATACATTTGTATCGGAGCCATCTGTGTATAGTTGGGTCACAGACGTGGTCCTCTGTTCAGCGCTGTCCCCACCGGTCACTCCTGGGTGGTGCCGGGTTTTCCGTGTGTCAGATGTGTTGCTCATGAGCTCACGTTGTAGTCGGCATTCGCCGAGCTTTGGTGCAGCTGGCTGGTGCTCATTTGAAGGTTTTTTTATCATGACTTGCTTATTATGGGATGCTTGTTTCTTAGTGATTTTCTTGGTTGTTTTTTCAGGACTGCAGGAATATGTGGAAGCCGTCTCTTTTCAACACTTCATCAAAACACGATCACTTATCAGCATGGATGAAATTAATAAACAGTTGATATTTACAACAGAAGACAGTGGGAAGGAAAACAAGACTGTAAGATTTTAAAACCTTATTACATCACGTTTATTACATCATTTATATAATGTGCAATGTACTAGTGGTAGGAATATTGAGATGAAAATGTTCTTCCCAAAGTGTGCTTTCATAGATGCCCAGTTTGGGAAACGGCCTCTGAAAATTGTAGGGAGTGGGTAGAGCAAGAACAACTGTGGGTATGTCGAGAGAGGATAATACTCTTCCCTGTATATGAAGATAATACTCTTCCCTACAGCATTACTGAGTGATGACTGCACGTTCACTTCTGGTTTCACTGTGCGTTCACTGTATGCCCTTTATTTATAAGCACTGTCTCATTTCATCCCCTTAGTAACCTAGGTGAGCATGATCGCCTTTATTTTACAAGGAAGGAAACAGGTTTTGAGAGAGTTTGAGTAACTTACCGAGAGTCACACAGCTAATAAGGGTGACAGCTAAGCTTTGACACCAGGTGTCCTAAATCCAAACCAGCGCCTGTCCACTGTGCCGGTGTCTGTCCACGTGTGTGCCACAGAGGCGGGGCCAGGTGTCCGCCTCACGGGGGTGGTGAGGGGTTTGACCAAAATGAGGCCGTGGGGAGCGCATGGCAGGTGGTCGTTAGAAAGGTTTGCATAAAGGTGTTAGGTAGGGAGAGCTGTTAGTCACTCAGTTCTTGGTGCTTGTATCCGAAAATGATACAGCTTTTCCGAATTAGGAAAAGGGAAAGTTTTGCAGTTTGGCTTTTGCATAAATACTATTTTTCTGTGGGTTTCAAGAGACAATATTTAGGCAATGAGGTGAGATTTTGAATATTTGGTATTTTCTGAGATACCAGTATGCTTGAAGATGAAATGTAAGTTTTTTTCTCTATTTTTTAAATCTTTTTCTTTGTTTTATTATTTCAGAATTGTTCAGAGTCAGAATAGGGAGGCAGAAAATGGAAGAAGCTGTGTAGACATTGAATATGAACTAAAATGTTAATGTTGAAAAGTGAGACTTCATTTAGCGTAACAGATATAGGAAGCTATTATGTATTTTCTCAATTTTTACAATTATATGAAGTTTATTAAGGAGGCAGTTCATTTTGGGAAGTAAAATTTCTTCATAATTTTGACTCATTTAGCAAAGTTCGCACAACTTCCTTTGAAGTTCTAATACATAGTGGAACCAGCAGGGCAGACGGTGAAGAGGAACTGGGAGCGAACGCTCTGTTTTCAGGACTGGGTAGTAGGTTCCGCTGAGATTGTGGTGCAACATTCATGCACACTTTCAAACTGTTAAGACCATGGTTATAAATAACTTTTATTTTTAGTGCTAAAGATTCTTGGTGCTAAAAATTCTGGGCGTTTCATAGATGAGGTATTTTGCTTTGATGTGCCTGTTGAGAATATTGTGAAAACCACTTAATTTTTTACAACTTCATTATGAAAAATGTCAAACATATGGAAAAGCAGAGCAAACAGTGACACGTGAACGCCTGTGTACCCGCTGCCTGGGTCCAGTCGTTGTCAACATTTTGCCGTATTTAGTTCATCTAAATATTTTTTTGTAAAGCTACTTTAATTGTAGGTGTGATGCTATTTTACCCCTAAATGCTTCAGATCCATCTTGAAAATCTGCATTTTAAGTAGTTTTCTTTCTTCTTGTTCCCATTATCACTCAGTAAAGCAGAATCGGTTTCCTTGACGTTTGTTGAAATTTGTTAATTTTTTAACAAGCTTTTTTCTCTAAAATCAACTTCTTAGTTGACCAGGGAATTCCTTCTGTCTAATGATAGAGATAAGAACATTAATACTTTAGGCGAAAGTTATTTTTATAAATGACCTATGAAATGCAACCCTCTGTCCCTTACTACAGTCTGTGTACCCTTTCTAAAAAGGTGCCAGTTCCCTGGCCCGGTAGCTCAGTTGGTTAGAACATTTTCCTGATACACCAAGGTTACAGGTTCAATCCCCAGTCAGGGCACATACAGGAATCAACCAATGAATGAAAAAATAAATGAAACAACAAATTGATATTTTGCTCTCTCTCTCTCTCAAGGCAATTAAAAAAAAAGATGCCAGTTCTCTCAACTGTTCATAGAAACAAGACAGAGTAGATATTTATGTCATGATGTAGTTTCAAAGGCATCAGAGTAATCGGGAGCTGGCCTTGGTGTTTATCCAGCTCTGTCATGAACTGGCTGTACTACCTCTGGTGGTTCTTACACCCCGTCTCTCACACTTTACACTCAGAGGGTCGGACCGAACCCCGTCTCTCACACTTTACACTCAGAGGGTTGGACCGAACCCCGTCTCTCACACTTTACACTCAGAGGGTTGGACCGAACCCCGTCTCTCACACTCTACACTCGGAGGGTCGGACCGAACCCCGTCTCTCACACTTTACACTCAGGGGATTGGACCGAACGGTCTCTGACGAGCACTCCAACCATACTGAGGGGTCGTGATAACAGCTAAATTTGACTCATTTCCTTGCTTAATTGACTCTCAGTGACTCCATGATCGGTTGATAAAAGTTCAAGTTTCTCAGTGTCACTTTATACTCCTGTCTGTCTTTCTAGATTCACCCTGTACTAATTCTTATTTTAAACTTGACTCAAAAGAAATACCTGGCAAGTTTCTCACCTGTACAACCCAGTTCTTACCTGCATGCCTTTGCAGCTAGGTCCCTCCGCCTCGGGCAGCCTCCAGTGTGCCTGCACCTACACCTAAGACTCATACACCCTCTTCATAACAAGTTAAGCATGGCCTCTTCCAGAAAGAATCCAATATAGAGGGGGAAATTGATGTGGAGAGAGTTTACATGATGATGGTAATGGTAATTGACAGCAGCTGACATGTGTTGGTATTGACTTTGTGTTGGGCATGACGCCAAGAACTTGGTAAATGTTATCCTTGAAATAAACCTCTGAGGTAGGTACTGTTATCCCATTTTACAGATGAGGAAACTGAGGTTTAGAGAGATGAAATAACTTGCCCAAGGGCATACACCTTATGAAGCAAGGTCCTGGAAGAGGTGGGAGGAGATGGGTCAAGGTCATTTGGAAGAGTTAACCTCAAACAAGAGGAGGGACAACTCATCATCTGAGACTGGAGGATAGAAGGTAAAGATGGATGTGGACATAAATAAGTTTGTTTGTTTGTTTGTTTCTGTAGGCATAAGGTAATTGAGAGTGTTTGTAGTGCGTGATCTGGCAGATGACCAGGCCGTTGAAAGTAGGCAGGGTGGTGTGCTGAGGGGGAAGAGGCTTGGGGTTGAGTAGGGGCTGCGGAGAGAAAGGAAGGTTCGGAGTAGTGTTTAAGGAGACGGGAGAGAGGACCATCCAGGAATAAGTAAAGGGACCGTACAAAGTGTATGTAGACGTTAACTTTTGCATTTTCAGCGTAATGGGACTCGGCCACTTGAATAAAGGACTAGCGAAAAGAGGGCTTAATATTGGTTCAGGCTTGTGCTTTTGCCGGATGCAGTAGGAAAGTAGGGGTCTGAAGGGACTGAGGAGGATGAAGCCAGAGAGGGCAGAATAAATGAGGACGGTCAGTGCTGTGTAGGGACCGAAGAGAGGCCAGAAGGGACCGCAGGGCTCGGGAGAGCAGGAAGTGATCACAGACATGGAGGGCGTTGAGAGTTGTCATTCAAATAAGTAATTGTCATGCAATAAAGTACTTGGGCCTTGTTTAAGAAGGTTTTAATTTTACTGTGTGTGTCAAGCGAAGTAGGAAATGGTTGATTTTATAATGATACAGTGTTAGATTCCAAAATTGTCTTGAACTCATTTAATTCAGCTCCCTGCCCAAGGCATGAATTCCTCTTGTAACATCACAAATGGTCAGTAAACAAAATAGATCATTTTATTTAGAGATGAGTATGGCCGATCTGCTGTCGATTTTGTGCCTTCTAGTAAATGTGATACACGCATATTAACTCCTTTTCACGGTGTAATTTTCTGTGTGTGTGTGTGTGTGTGTGTGTTGTTCTTTTACCAGCCCTCATCTGACGCTCTGGGTAAGCAGTTGGACTCCTGGAGCCTGAAAATCACGCCCGTCGATTACCTGCTGGGAGTGGCCGACCTAACTGGGGAGCTGATGCGCATGTGCATCAACAGCGTGGGCAATGGGGACATCGACACCCCCTTCGAAGTGAGCCAGTTCTTACGTCAGGTGTATGACGGCTTTTCCTTCATCGGCAATACTGGACCTTACGAGGTTTCTAAGAAACTGTACACCTTGAAACAGAGTCTGGCCAAAGTGGAGAATGCTTGTTATGCTTTGAAAGTCAGAGGTTCAGAGATTCCAAAGCATATGCTGGCAGATGTCTTTTCCGTGAAGACAGAAATGATTGATCAAGAAGAGGGTATTTCTTAGAGGGACATTACTCAGTTATTCTCCTAAGAGAGGCCAGTTTGTAAGACTGTTATTTAGTATTTCATTTGACTTTATTGTGGCTTTTACACAGGAAAATTTCAGTTTCACTTGTTTTGAATTATATACAACTTGTATATAAAATGACTGAAATGAATCATTTTCTATGTCTTACTCATGAAAGTCAACATATATGTTTGTAGAACTTTCAACATCTGTAGAAAGTTGGCTACAGATGTTTGCATATATGCCTATTTGAATTCTTGCTGGCTGAATTTCATCACTGTCATGTGAACATGCTTCAGAGCACTTTCTGCCGTATCTGTTCTGATAGACTTCGTGTGAGTGTTTGAGTGCCGATAGTTAGCGGGAGCCATTTGGAACTGAAGTTGGTAGTTTTGTTATATGTGCAAAGGTTTCTTAGTTCTGCATCTGCACTTCAGCTTTTTGTTTAAATTTCTTGGTAATACTGTGTCAAGCCTCCAAAATAGGCTTAGTCCATAGAGCAGAATTAAAAATGACTAAGTTATTGGTATACCTGAATTTTATGTGGCATTGTGGTAGAAATTGACATTATCATCTGGCTAATTTAGGCCATTTTGAATCTGTTGGGAACAGCCTTCCAGAAAAGTGGACAAAGATCCAAAGGTTAGTTTCTACATTTAACTTTGGTTCTTTATCACAGAAAGTCTGACAGAGAATTTGAGCTAATACTGTAATATTTCCACTGCTGTTTGAACTATATACTTGTACATAACTAAAAAGCTTTCAGTAATGATTATTTAGTAATTTTTTGGTTGTCTTTTAGTAACATTAGGCATGTTTAGAGACTTTTCCTGTTCTAGCATCTATAAGAAATTACATTTAATTACTTTTAATGAAGTTTTGGAATTTTTGAAATACTAAATCCAAACCTTTATAGTTGTCCAGTTGTATTTGTTGATAGTATAAAAAGTTGCCAAAGAAAATTTCTCCTGTACAGTTCAGCAATAAGACAAACGTCGGTGCAGCTGGGAATAACAGTGGGTCTCTAGCTGCGGTCGGCATCAGATTCGCCTCTGAAATTAGTTACAGTTTATTCCCTGTGGTGTGGAACTGACCTGAGCAGACATTTTCATTTGGTTTTGTGACTTTTGAGAATTTAGAGACTGCATTTTATTTTTGGAAATATTAGTTGCTCTGTTTTTAAGAGCTAATTCTTTGAAAGTGTAATTTCCCCCTAAAAAATTACCTGGAGAAAAAAAATAGGCATGCCTAATAAAATAGGTCGTTTGTATGTTTTGGTGGTAGTGAGTTTTTTTTTGGTTTCCCTGTTCAAACATATATTCCTGAAATGTAGTCTCGTCGCCTATTTTTGTTTTCTCTGCCACTCGAAGTTAAATTTATGTTAAAAGTAAAATAACACACTGGCACCAACTGTTCAACTTGCCAAGTCTGAAATTACAATTACAGTTTAAGTTGCACTCGGTGTATACTGCCTGCATGCAGGCAAGCCGTTCCGCCCAGTGCTCAGGGTGATAGCTTCTGTAGTACAAAAATACATGTTAGAGATGTATGTATTATCTACCTTATTAAAAATTCCCTGAAAAACAAAAAAAAGTAAAATAATAATGGATTGATGGCTCTCTTACAGAGACCTAAAACTGAAATCTTTGAATAAAATATTAAAACAAAGTTACTCTTAGTTTTCGATTATATTGAGAAATACTTAATCAAACTGCCGTGTAATTTTTGGCCCAGTCAGGAAACCTACTGTAAGAGGAAGATTTATTATTTCTTAAAATAGGTCCAGAGGTTGGGAGAGTTTCAGGAAAGCCATTTCTTCACATGTCACTCACCCAAACCGGTCACTTTCTCAGCCCTCTAAGGCCGTCCGTGGAAAGGAGAATTAGCGCACCGTGGTTGACCAGAGTGCACTTTATCCGAGAGGACAAGGGCGGACACTGGAAACCAGACCGGTGTCTCCAACTCAGGGGAGGGGAAGTGGCCTGGGACCGCAGCTACTGCAGGTCCATTGTTGTGGGCATGTTTCCAGGCTGCATGGTAACTGACGCCCACCAGGAGGGCAGGGGACCCTAACTAGACCCCGATGTCTCCCAGTGTGACGGTGGTGGATCCGATAGCATCATCTGTTCTGTTTCTAATCTGCGCCGTAACACGAAACTGGTTCTAAGTCACATGGCAAGTTCTGACAGAATTCTGAAATAAAATTCAGTTATTTCCTTCATAAGTAACTCCTGCATGTATTAGATCAGTAGTTTTTCACAATACACCCCGCAGAGCCTTAGGGCTTTTTGAAGATGCGTCAGAGAAAGATGCCATGTAAATAAGATGGGCAGAATGTATTTAAAAACTTGGTCCAGAGCCTTTGCTGTTCACAGAAGACTTCCCTGTAGATTCAAAGACACAAATACATTAACAGAATGGGAAAAAGATACTTCATGGAAACAATAACCAAAAGAAACCTACACACAGGGGTGTCCAGCTTTCCGGCGTCTCTGGGCCACACTGGAAGGAGTTGTTTCGGGCCACACATGCAATGTGTTGTGACACGTAATCACAACAAAATCTCATCATGTTTTAAGTAAACTTGAGATGTTGTGTTGGGCGGCATCCATAGCCGTCCTGGGCTGCGGTTGGTCACTCCTGCTAGACTGATATACTTTAAAACTAATTATTATTATTATGTTTTTTTGCTTGAGACAAAGATAAAAGGTTTGTAATGGTGAAAGATTTGTCCTGCCCTGGCTGGTGTAGCTCAGTGGACTGAGCATGGGCTGTGAAACAAAGAGTAGCCAGTTCGATTCCCAGTCAGGGCACATGCCTGGGCTGCGGGCCAGGTCCCCAGTGGGGGCCACGTGAGAGGCAACCACACATTGATATTTCTTTCCCTCTCTCCCTCCCTTCCCCTCTCTCTAAAAATAAATAATAAATAAGTAAAATCTTTTTACAAAAAGATTTGTTCTTTGATGAGAATATATTGCATATGTGTTTGTGTTAACAATAGAGCCCCAGAATTCATGAAGCAAACTTTTACAGAAACTTTCAGCCACTGAAGTGAGAAATAGACAATTTGTTAAGGGTTGGAGACCTCACTACCCCGGTTCCAATAATGGATGGAAGAACAAGACAGATTAGTAAGGGAACAGAGGACTTGAACTTGGATCCGACATATGTACACAGAGCAAGCACCCTTCCCGATACCAGAAGACACATTTTTCTCAAGAGCACTTGGGACATTATCCACAAAATGTCAGGCCGCAAAACAACTCACGGTGTGTTTGAAAAGACTGAAATCCTACAAAGTATGTTCTCTGACCACTAATGGAATGAAATGAGAAATTAATAACAAATAAATTAGCAAATCACAAATATATGGAAATTAAGCAACATACTCCTAAATAACCAGTGGGTCAACGATGAAAGCACAGGGCAATTAGAAAATCCTTTGAAAGGAGGGAAAAAGACAACGTATGACTTAAGGGTGCAAGGAAAGCAGTTTTCAGAGGGAACTTTATAGCTTTAGAAAGAATTATTTCAAATTCATAACCTAAACTTCCACCTTAAGAAACTAGTAAAATAGCAAACTAAACCATAAAGCAAGCAGAAGAAGATTAGAGCAGAAATAAATGAAGTAGAGAATAGAAAAATAATAGAGAATAGCAGACCAAAGGTTTTTTTTTTTTTTCTGAAAAGACCAAACCTTAGGCAAAACTGACAAAAAAAAAATTGGCTGCAAGTGCTAAGTAGTGGATCAGGAGACACTGTACCAATGTAGCAGAAATAGAAACTTTTTAAAGAGCACTATGAACAATTGTGTTCAAATAGTGACAAATTGCAAAACCTAAATGAAATGGATAAATTCCTGGAACTCAGACTACTAAAACTGAATCAAAACATTGCAAATCTAAGCAGAACTTTATCAGAGAGATTAAGTTATTAATCAAAAAAGTCCAATGAAGAAGAGCCCAGGACCAGATGGCTACACTGTTGGATTCTACCAAACATTTAAAGGATTAACACCAGTTTTTTTTCCCCCCAAAAAACATTGCATTATGTCTGTAAATCAATTTAAAAAAAAATGGGGGAAATACTTACTAACTCCTTCTTGGTGGCTACACTTAGGCTTATACCAAAGCCACTGAAAGAAAACTAGATCAGTTAACCTCATGAATATAGATGCAAAAATCAAGTCACTTATAAAAACGATCGCACACCAGGACCAACCTGCATCTCATGTCAGGAGAGCACGTCTGGTTCAACATAAACAGTGGTCAACATCATACATCATGTTAATAGCACGGAGAAGAAAAAACATGGTTCACCTCACTAGAAACAAGTCGTTTGACAAAAGCCAACACCTTTTCATGATACAAACGTTCAACAAATTGGAATAGAAGGGAAATTTCTTGTGCTGATGAAGGGCATCTGAAAAACAACTAATAACCTTATTTAATGGTGAAAGAACTGAAAGCTTTTCCTCAAAACAGGGAACAAGGGAAGTAACATGAGCTCACATACAGGAAACCTCTAAAGAATCCTCAAAAAAGAAATTATACCTAAGCCCTGGTTGGTGTAGATCAGTGGATTGAGCATGGGCTGTGACTCAAAGGGTTGCTGGTTTCCCAGTCAGGGCACATGCCTGGGTTGTGAGCCAGTTCCCCAGTTGGGGCCACGTGAGAGGCAACCACACGTTGATGTTTCTCTCCCTCTCTCCTTCCCTCCCTCTCTAAAAAAATAAGTAAAATCTTTAAAAAGCGAAATTATAACTAATAAGGGAGTCCAGCAAGGTTGCAGGACACAAGAAAATTATACAAAATCAGTTGTGTTTCTATACACTAGCCATGGAAAATCTGAAAAGACAATTCCATTTAAATAGCATTGTAAGGGATAATGTATAGGAATAAATTTATCTCAACAAATGCAAATTGTACACTAAAGGCCAAAAATATTGCAGAAGTAATTAAGACCTAAATAAAAAGGCATCTTGTTCTCCTGGAATGGAAAATAAAATATTGGCAAGATAACAATATTCTGAAAATTGGCTTACAGAAGTAATGCAACCTGTCAAAATTGCAACTTCATTTTTCAGAATTGCATGTTCTGATCCTAAAATTCTTTTGGAAAGTCAGAGGCCACAGAATAGTCACTACAGTCTTTGACGCGGAGAGCACAGCTGGAGGACTCATTTCCTGAATCCAGATCGGACGCCAAAGCAGCAGGAATCCAAGTGTGGGACTGGCATAAGGATCAATACATAGGTCAGTCCAGTCGATCGAAATCCCACCAAGAAGCCCATGTGTTGGTGGTCAGATGATTTGTGATGAAGGTGCCAAGACCAGTCAGATAAAAAGCCACATTTCATTGATAAGAAATGTCCAGAACCGGGAGGATGGGAGAGAGGGTACAACTGTGGGGCTTGTTGTTGAGTGATGGAAATGTTCTGGAATTAACAGGAATAGTTGTACACCCTTGTGAAGGTACTGGGTTGGCCAAGAAGTCCGCGTATTTTTTTTATTGTTCTGTAAAATAAAGCCACTTTTTATTGTCACTGGCAACTTGATTGATTTGGGTATTTTGCGTATGTCCACTTTCTCCTGCATGGTATGAAGTTGATTGTTCTTAATGACTTGATTTGATTACTGCTGACTCCTGGTCGATTCGACGGTGGACCATCGAACAGTGAGACTTCGCAGACCACTTTCGACACTTGTTCAGTCATAGTACCTTCACACACTACAAAAATCTGTGCGCTTCGGTTGCATTTTTACTTTTCTTGAAATAATAAAGTAGACTATGCCAAAAAATGCGTACTTTCTTCCAGCTTCAATATTAAAATGGCTACACAAAAATGTACCGATTTTATGTGTTTTTTTCATGCACAGCCGTCACAGTACAATCTAAAAAAATTGGTTCAGATGACGTTAAAGACAACTACACTCTACTAGAACCATCTTACGGGAAAAAAACAAACTTTTTGGCCAACCCGATGCTAAAAACTACTGAATTTTACACTGTAAGATGGTGAACTTTGTTATGGGAATTGTATCTGTATAATACATTTTTAATGTATTTTTCAAAAGTGGATTGATTTGCCCTGACTGGTGCGGCTCAGTGGGCCATCATCCCACAACGGGGAGGTTTGCCTGGTACGATTCCAGGTCAGGGCACGTGCCTGGGGTGCGGGTTCCGTCCCCGGTCAGGGCACTTCGGAGAGGCAACCCATAGATGTTTCTCTCATTGGGATATCTCTCCCTCCCCGTCTCTCTAAAGATA